ATGACAATGTAAACTAGTGGTGCTACAACAGCAGATACTTTTTCGTGTTATATCTATGTAATATTGAAATATTTCATTTTCTGTACTACTAACACCTAGGCTATTACTTTAAAACGTTCATTTCTAACAATTTAAACAAAGCGATGTGATGCATATTTGCATTCATTTCGATAGTTAGGAACAGCAACCGTTTCTTACTTTGACAAATGAAATAAAGAGGGATAAACCTGACAGTTCGTGTATTCGCAGCAAATTATATAGAAGCGAGCAACGTAGTTGCCAGCGCAACGTTGTCAAAACAATGTGCATTCACTTGGCGAATTACATCAATGTAAAAATGCTAATTTCCATTTTTATTCAAATTTCAACTTGCTTATGAGTTAGTCATAGTACATCGTACATAGGTGATAAATATCTAGATCTAAAATACCCAAACTAATTAATTACTAATGTTCTGTGATTGGTAATATTAAGTTAATTTATTACTATTTATATGTTAACTCCGCCTCAAACGAAGAGCAGAAGAATAAAACATCCAAGGTTATAATAATGTGATTCAGTGTGTTTATTTCTAAAACTTTTATAAACTAGAGTCTATAACGAAGTTCATATAATATAATAAACATTTATATGAGTAAAATTAACCCTTTAACTTTCTCTAGCCGAGAAAAAGCAACGTGATTATTAAGTTAAAATATAAAATAAATTCTTAAGTTTTAGAAACCCTTGTTTAATTTTCAACTCACAAAATGTTTTCCAAAAAGCAAACCTAATTTTTATTTCAAAAAACGGATAAACGACGTTCCACTATATTGCTATATTCTCGTTGAAATTTTTAAAGTTTATAATATGGAAAATATTGTTGGTGAAATTATGAAATATGTATAGATAAGCGACCTTTTGTTCAGTGCATATGTGTATTACCTACACCTCGCAACACTAACAAAAAATATGGATTATCAAATAGGTTTTCAAAAAGCTAATTTGTAAACCCAAGCTCGACTAAATAAATCAGCTACATCTTATCACCGTCACCATCTCAACCGCCACGATCTCGATGTTCAACAATGAGCTTCTCAAATATCCATTGCGGCGTTAGCGCGCACATTTCAATTAAGCTTCGCAGATTGCTTGAAAGAAATAGCCTACATCAATACATTGAGAATACAAATTGTAGAATAGAGTAAAAAGTAAAAACCGAATCAATATTGACATTTTCCTTCTTTTCCTATAACATTCCTTCTTTTTAATGTTCTAGATATTATACTAGTATTCAGGCACACCTAGAAGTCATAAATTGAATTTCATGCATATAAGCACTATTGTTCAAGTTGACATTGAGTTATAATTCTACCATCATTTGTATTTGTAGTAATTAATATGTAATTTTTACTAAGCTGCTGAAATTCCTGTTTTATTGAAGTGAAGGTGCACATCCAAATAACATGTGACAAGGCAGGACAGTATGATGTTGTTTCTACTGCTAGGAAACATGATACTGTTTCAACCAAGGAATGACATGAAGCACAAAGAAGTTTTATATTAACTTGTTAAAATTTTATATGGACCTATCACATACTGCAACTTTGTAACAATACAATTCAAGTAATACAACTGTTTTATAATCCCACAATAACCTTATTAGTAAAGAAAGCCACTTTTGGTATTGAAACACAGTGGTAAAATAGTAGGTAAAAAACAACAACATAAAGTCCAAAACCATTTTGAAAGCAATTTGTCAGAGCACCTCAGGTTTGAAGAACATTCCTTCAACTTGGTGTATTGTACCTCAAACATGCAAAAATTTTAAATATCATTAAATTACTTACTTTCACATAGATATTGAATAAATATGTCTACAATGAAAACACAAATATTAAAAAACAAAATTTGAAAATTTATTTTGGGAGATAAAGGAATTTTGTATACAGAAATTGGCCCTGAGCTGTGACATCACTTCATATACCTGTGTTGCTTCAATTCTTTTTTCTGATGATTTGAACTCGTGCCTGAACCAAAAAATATTAGTAATATTAGTATTTACATATTTTAATAATTTTTATGTCAGATAAAATCAAAAATTCAAATTTTCTTCATGAAATAATTGCTTTATATGTTTAGTTTTGGTTCATTCACCAACTATATATTTCTGATTTATAACAAAAAAAGAATCAGAGGGTTATCTTACATAGAACCAGAGATATGATCATTCAGTTTCCCAATGACAGCCAAAAAGTCAACCTTTGGGGAAATGGCTTTAAAGTTTGTAATGCTCTAGAACTCTCCAGGGCTATAGGTTATGCTTCCTTTCTCTATTATATTCTCTTATTTTCCTTAGTCCTCTTAAATATCTTCTTCTATCCTTATTTTCTGATGTGTGGCTTTGTTTTATTTTTCAAGAACCATGCTCCCTTTTCGGAAAGGGGGTGTGGATCCCCTAACGCAAGACTACATAAATATCCAAATAAAGACAAAAGAAAGATCATAGAATAAAATGGATATTGCCATGTTAAAGAGAATATATCAAAGGTTCTGATTCTGTTAGAAGTCTAAAACAGAATTTTCTGCGATTTTCCCTTATATTTGAGGTATAATATTACTCTCTGAATATTACCTTAATACTCCCAAAATAACGGAACTATTGGAACAAACAACCATTAGCACATCATTCATACAGAACAAGCAACAATTAAATCAAGTATAGTATATTGCTTTCAAGAAATATACACCAAAAGTTGTGTCATACATTCACAGATATGTCATCCAGCATCATTAACAAGCAGAAGTTCAACCTTCTTTCATGCCCATAATTACAAACTTCATAAAAGGAATCCAATGTTCATTGACAATGCAACTCTCTGAATTTTATGTTCTTTTATTAAACTTTGTCCTCGGATAGCATAAAGGACAGTTAATATAAAGGTAAAGATATCATGTTCATTGGAATCCCTAAGTTTTCAAAAATTGCAAAAGTTTAAACTTTTTTCAACCTACAACTACAACATTGAAGAGAGATTTCCACAATGAAATCTGTTCTTTAAAGATGGACCTTGAAAAAGGGTCATATACAATTTTTCAAAAACATGAGTAGCTTTCAAGTAATTTTGCATGAAATACAGGCAATTTTTCAAATTTTTTAAAGTTTCTTTCTCAAAAATGGGTCCAAATTTTACATTTGAATTTTCTTCATACATGTAAGAATGTTAAAGCTAGTAGTGGTAGAGAATGGCACAGTTGTAGTTGTTCTCATACTAGTTAGGACCTAATTTTCTTATTTCTTTGATCTGGACTAGCTTTTTGGTCGTGCCTCAACCATCTATATGGAAATTTCTCTACCTCTAATTTTATAGTTGTAGGAAGATGCCAAAAAATGTCCAACATTTCCAATTTTCAAAAATTTAGAGACTAACAGTGAAAATTGAACCTATGCCATCTTTCAAATGCATTTCACGCTATTTTTATGAAGTTTAAACAAAACATTTGGAGTCATTTTTGAGAAAACTTTGAAAACGTCCCAGGGACTTCATGAAAAGTACCCCCAAAATTTTAAGAATGTTTCAAAATCATAGAGTTTTGACTCACTAGCCTGTCGGGGGAATATTAATTTTGGAAAAAATCATAACCATAGTTGACGCTAATGTTTTTTCCAGACGGACGGACTATTGTTGTAAAACAGAACCACTTTCTTGGTATCAGGGAAAGCCAAAATGTGTATTTCCATTCCAGCAAACTCTCTGTATTTCAAAAATTGCAAACATTTAACATTTCAAAACTACAAAATTGAAGATAAGGGATTTTTACCTTAAACAAAATCTGTTCGAAAAATCCCCTTTTTAAAAATAGTTGTGTAGAATTGTTGTTTTAAAAAAGTGTAACATGTTTTTTGCGTTATTTGTGCTTGAAATTAATCCAATTTATAAGAAAATCACATTTTCTCACAAAACACTCCAATTTTTCTAAAGATAAAACAAGAAACGCTTAAAAGAATGGCACGGGCACTTTCATTGAACTCTCCGAATTTTCAAGAGTTGCAAATTTAGAAATAATTCTAGAAAGTATGGTGGTTGTAGCACCATATTCTAGAAAGTATGGTGGTTGTAGTTGTTTTTTTTTTTTTCCATAGTAGGATTTCTTAGAGACTTGTTATACAATCTGAGATGTGATCTTCAAAAATACGTCAGCCTCCCTTGATGAACTTAAGAGCCCAAGTTCTATGATCATTGCACACTTTTTGAATTTCATTTACGAAGTATTGCTGCCTCGAATGAGTGGATGTCTGCTATCATCAAAGAATACGGTGAGTATCTGTTTGATGAAAATTTGATGAAGATGGCGATGTGGCACAGTATGCACAAAGTTTTAAGTCTGTCAGTATGCAGAATAAGGATTTGTTTCATAATGTGTATGAAACAAACTTATCATTATTTTACTAGGAACATCATTCGCTCTGAAACTTAAGTTTTCATCATTTCTAATCCTCTTAAAACATAACAATTGAGTCAAAATCAATACTCAGAAAGAGTCTGTAGACAAATTATTATTTACTTGAATTATTTTTTACTTGAGTGTGGGAAATTTTGTTCACTGACTTCATTGGGAATACAATGTTATTGTTTAAGTTTTACTATATATTGTGGAATCTAGTCATAGAGACCTACTTATTGTTTCATGTTAAAATATGACAGATGATGTTACATTACAGAGACATCTTTTATTTTTTTATGCAGATAAAATAGCCAGAAGGGCTTGTTGCATGGTCTAATGAAGAAGAAAAAGAAGACGGAAAAGAAAAAAGGCAAAAAAGAAGAAGAACAAACCTCATGAACTGACATTGTCTACAGTAGTAGAAAACTCCTTCAAACCAGACTCATTTCCATAAAAAAAAATGTATCATAATTTATAACATAGGAACTTGAGGCAGCCCACATTGTCTCCTACAAGGAGGTTTCTTTCATGTCTTCTCAATTCAAGAAATACACAAGAAAAAATACAAATATAAATGATGTTATGATACTTTATTTCACTATTATATCCTACACAATTATATATCTAAATTTATGTACAAAAATACAAAAAGCATTTGTTTGATAGGTAATTGCCAATCTTGAAAATGTACAAATGACAGGTCACAGTAAAAACCTGATATTTTAGCATGGTTAGATCAAATGTAAGGAAATGGACTTCACACAGCATTCTAATGGCTGAAGATTCCAGTACATACTCTATGGAACATTGCCTCTCATTTCTAATTACACACAATCTACAAGTTTCAAAGTACATAGCCTCAGGCATTATGCAAGCTGATCATCAAAACTGCTGGTAAAGTAAATGGTTTTCATCTACATATATATTTAATGGCTGTGATAGTATATGTGCTTGAAATTAGCAAAGCAAAAATATTTTTAGATCTGCTCTCATTGATATTTATGACATTAAATTTTGAAATGAATAAAAATACACTTCTTTTACTTTTAATTTTTTTAGTATTTTCATGGATTAAAAATATAGCACAGAATTTTGGGTCAAGTATTAAATGTACAATAATATTCTGATAATAAATATAGTAATAGGGAGGTGTTTATAACAGGTTATTCACTTTAACATCATGCAGGTTACTGAAAGGGAATTATATATAGGAATCTGCATAAAGTACTGCAATCACTTCCAAAATATTTGTTGACATTTATAAAATAATACAGATCTTGAAAGAAACATAATCATACTATAGTATACATTAAAGAAATAATATTTTAAAATAAGAATGTATTTAAATAATAAGCTGCAAGTGAACAATTTTCCAGAACAAGTATGGAAAAATTATTACAAAGTTGTCATTAAAGATAATACCTTCTGTAATGCACAGAGAACAAACACACTAACATGAACTAACATTTTTATACTATGATTTTCAGTTCTTTACGGAGAGAAAAAAAAAAGTTTTTATATGTAATAAAATATGAATTAATAAACATTTTCAAATGAGAAGTTACTGGCAAATAATTCAATAATTAAAAAAACATACATCTGCTAATAAAAATGGCTTTGTTAAAACCCTATTACGTGAAATTTATTGAAATCTTTTAGCTCTTTCTCATAGAATATTTCTCTGCCTACTTCAAGCACCAATACTTTAATTTTTCTAATCTAATGTTTATCTCTTAACCTATTATTTTACGCGTTATTTCTATACATTTGACTATTATACATAAATTATTTCTCATATACATATATATATATAGGAAGTATCTAAGGAACTCTTTGAATTTTTCTTCTTTTAGGCCACACTAACTTGTCTTGGATTTTGCACCATGAACACAAGTTCACACTAACTGCATAAATAACGGAATTCAACAAATGCTTCAAAAGCACACACTGGACGTTACATTTTACTGGACTGAACAGACAAGCTTACATAATGCCAGGGATATACCATATGTATCTGTTTCTGATTCTTTTAACAACCAATAACATACATAACAATCTTGCTACCTATTCTACTGTACATATATTCAGTAAGGAAGTGATATTGTGACTTATCAAATCACGTTTTTCCAAGTGTGTAACACTTCTTCATTGACACTGATTACAAGCACTTGCTTTATATCTACCACAGAATACCTCTGGTAAAAGTGAACCGTCATTTCACACCTGCCAGTCTTCACCAAAATTTGGCATAACATCACACTCTTTCTGTAATTTCATAATTATCTGACATAACAGCACTTGAATCCAAACACAATGTGGAAGTCCTATTGGCACATACTAAAAATTGTTGAGAAGCATAAAAAAATGTTAAACATGGCACTTTCTTGGTAAACTCTAAGCAGCAAAAGAATGTAAATATGATCAGTAATATGGTAAATTGTTTGCGGCCTGATATAAAATTTGCAATTTGAAAAAGATACAATGAGTAAAATATTTTTTTGTAAGAAAAAACGAGATATCTCAGAACACCATAATAAAATGGAAATATTTTGAATCATTGTGAATCTCTAATGTTGAGAGTCATACATAGAAAGAGGTAAAAGAAACTAAAGTAGTCAAGAATATAATAAATAGTTTTACAATAATTTGTGTAACAGCCTGTAAAAAGAACTTGTCTAAATAAAATTACTGCCAAAATTATTCCAAAGACATGTTGGATATATGTCACAGAATCTAAACAAGTTCAACACGTAAAATGAATTTACAGAGCTTGCTTTTATGTTGTTTACAATCGCAAAAAGCAGCTGAGTCTAAATGACTGGCAATTTTTAAACATTCATACCACATCATCAAATTCTATACAAATAATGTACATATAAATACAAGGATGCAAAGGTAATCTACAGAAGCGTACACACATAGCATCATAGTCAAATTGTAAAAACACATAACTCAGGGATATCATTAAGATATGCTCTGTAAAAATGAGAGAATATTTCAGTATAAGAAATAACAGTAATTTGCATAATTTTCAACAACTGTAGATGTGATTTCTTTATCATTACGAGGCACTCTTATATGATTTTGAATTCAGTGCAGGTGATAAATTGTTAGATATTATTTAAACTAAACAAATTGTTTTACATGGGTTCTGAAAAGGTAAGTTTACATAACAATAACAATATGTAAAAATTCAAGAAAAACATTTGAAAATATTATAAAACAAATGCTTTATTTGTCTACATTTTTCTTCTGGCAACTTGTTCAATATATAATGCATTCTTTGCAAATTTCCACATTTTTTGGACACTAGAATTTAACTTGGCAGTTACACACAATACTAGTCTTTGTGGAGTATACGACATAAGTTCAATAGATTAATGAGTATTTATATTTACAAATACTTTCTCAAAAAACTTATTTTTCATAAATTTGTTTCAGTTTCTTGGTTTAAACTAAATGCTTTAATCTTCTGTCCTTCATTATTTCATTATTAATGATTCACTTATCTTCATGCAAATCAATTCCATAAGTTTCAAATTGAACAAATCATGGGATTTTTTAATACGAAATAATTTTCTCAATTAAGTATACAGCCAGTCTTTGCTTTTCAATTCAACAGCATTCTCTGAAATTATTCCACATACAAATAAAGCAACTATTTTTTTATTTCCTACAAAAGTAATTTAAAATAAAAGTTTGTATGTGCTTCTCAGAAACAGTCTTTACAATACCATTTTAATATTTTCAACTTTAAAACCATTTGCCAGAACAAATGCAAATGTAAAATACAAATATACTACCATTTGTACAAATGTACTGACAAATTTATAATTATGAAAAGTATGAGATGAATACTCTTAGAAAAAGAGAAAGGTGTATTATGAAGAATCTATTTTGTATATATACACACACACATACACTCATATGTTTGACAACAAAATGCATCAACAAATGTGTTCGTATTGGAGCAACTTTTCTTCCAATATCTTTTGTTTTACAAAATAACAAAGAAGCTTTTTGTCTATGTTAAAATAAATAACTATTCATATGAAACACAGTAAATATGAACTTAAAAAAAATGATAACAATAACAAGTGAGATTCAGAATATTATATATACTTTACCTACCATCTGCATTCTTTGGTTCAAGAAACCAATTATTTTTTAGAGAACAAGAAGTTTTAGAGTAAACTAGTTCTTGCTATCCTCATCAAAGTTATGGTTCTATAATGTAACAAACTGCAGATTATGAAACTGACTTAAATGAATCCAGACACATTCAAATGCAGGTTTATGTCACAATTCAGTCTATTTCAGCCTACAATGCAAAGTGGATCTTGCAATTTATAATTGAGCAAGATAAACTGGTAAATATCCTTACAACAATTCTTCTAAGTATTTATGAAAAACTAACACTCATCCTAAGAACACTTGGGATTTTAAAATCCCAAAAATTACTTTCAACTTTCTTCACATTCATAATGTGCTTTAGCACAATTTAATAAAATCACCACAAATTATGAGAAAATTGTTAAGATCACACAAACATCAGTCATGTCTTCACAAGACAAAAAAACTGTTTCTTCAAATACATAGTGACACAGAATAACTTCATATTTTGTTATCTCTAACATAACACCTACTTCACAATATTGGACCACATACATTTGTGCTATATTTGTTAAAGCTCATCCCAAAGACCTAATCTTCCGTATATTAGGTACAACTTCTCTGACTTGAATTTACATTGACATTCTTTGTTCCATCCTGTAGCAAAACATTTTAGAAATAAACTATTATTGTAGCAATCATTAATCAACTAAAACATAACAATACAAAAAAAGGCAATTCTTCAAATTTAAAACTGTTTATTAAGATTTATTGCTTCACCAAGAATTCAAATTTAGCACATTAATAAAAAATTAGATATGCCTATACAAATAAAATAAAAAGAATTAAGCTCTCAAGCTAAAACTATAAAACCAAGCAACAGACATATAGAAGTTTGTACCTTTATTGAGTATGAACCCTATCCAACTATTACTTGAAAAATAAAATCAGACACTGTTGTTGTTTTTTTGTAAAAAATGAAAATAAAACACATACTCAGTAAATATAAAACTTTCAAAACCAAAAAGAAAAATTATTAGTTTCTGAAAATAACTTTTTGCTTTTAAAAGGCACAATTTGAGTTTTTATAAAATAAAAGTATGAAGAAAAGATCAATTTTTAATATTTCTCATCTCATTGTATCTGGATAAACATATGCCAAGCTCACAACCTTTTGACCCCTTGAAAATTATATAAAGCTTTCAATAATTTCTTAAGTTATTTCACTCACTCTCTGTCTCTCTCTCTCTCACTTCCTATACAAAACCTGATACAAATAACTTAAGAAACCAAATTTCCTTTTATGTTTTGCTACAAGAGATGGAACTCCATAATACATTTACACCTCAGCATAAAAGATCACATTTATTTTACAATACATCAATATAAAAAATGTGATCGGAAATCCACCTGCATTACACTATCATTGTTATATTACGACAGCCAGAAAGCCACTTTGCATTGAGTGCTATTTTCTCCAGTGTATTTCTACATGTATCTTAATTTAGATGTTACATTTAGTTGTCATGTGCTCAAATACACAAAGAGACCAGTCTATAAAATGCATATCAAAGGTTGAAGGGAGAATTTCTTATTATATAGTCCTTCATATTTTAGAATAACATTGAACTGTTATGTCATGCTCCTTTCTCATGTTAAATAAACATTGATCCTTAACAAGAATTTGTAATAGGTATAATTGCACGATATAAACAATTACTGTAATATACACAAATGTCACCAGAATCTTGCATCCTGTGCAATGTAAACTTGCCTCAAAAACAAGCATCATTTCAAATAAATGTCAAGACAAAAAATAATCGAAGTACTTTCTGAAACAGTGTATATCAGCATAAGCACATTGCACAAAGAATGCAAAATTTTATTTTGTTTTATTTGATTTAAAATTTGTCTTTTGTCATTTATTTTTGTTGGAAAGCCCTATTCATACACTAAGACTAAGTACACCAGAGATCAAAATTCAAGTTGAATGAAAAACAGATTAATTTTCTGGGAGTATGTATAGAACAATTATTTTGATAAAAAATGACGAGAATATTTTACTAAAGGCACCAATGTCCTGTCATTATGAATACACAAAAGATGCTTCCAAAATTTACAATTTAACTTTTAGGATATTCATCTAGATTCAAAATTTTAATGATAGAAAAATAAGTACAAATATCTATTACTAATCCCATTTGATGGGATTCTGAATTTTATTAAAGAAGCTAATAACAATCCAAATATTCTTGAATTTAATGTATGTATATATTACACAAACCTGAGTCTTTTTTAAAATAATCAACTTGAATATTATTCTGTGTGAAGACAAAAAATCAATTTTCCAACAAATTACAATAATATTTGTAAATGTGATTTCTCGTAATTTATCACAAACCTATACCTGATTTACTAGTATCTTTGGGTATAAAAAAAGAAACTAACATATTTGTGAGCAAAGGATGATGATTTCATGATTTTTCAAAAGCAATAAATGTTTACCTACTTTCTACATCTCAAACTGATCTCATAATGAATACTGAACAAGTAATTCCTGAGAAGTAATATTATTTGTAATAAAAATATACATATAACCAGTACACAAAATTTTGCATATAGTAATTTTGACTGTCAACATCATGAATCATCATTTTTGACACCAGAAATTATCATTAGGCCAAATACACTAAATAAAAGTAACAAAAGTAAGCAAGTAACAGTTCAACATACCATTCCTGAAAAGTGCATGTATGTTGAGCAATTCACAACTCAAAATCAGACAAAAAAGGTTTTGCCTGACACTGACTATTGCATTGTTAGGAAGCTGAATGATGAATAATATCACACTTGTGGTAGAGTTAAGGCATTTCTCACGTAAGTGTACATTTTTCAGCATACTATTTATGAATCTTTTGTGAGATTTGGACAACAAATTCCACTGGCCTAAATATACCTGAGTCCTACATTTGAAAAACATGTTAATAGGAAATAGCATATAGTTAAGAGAATCATAAACAGCCTCTGGTCCAAAAACGAAAACAAAACTATGATGAATGCATGAATTATTATTCTCCATGAAGTTAACCCTCATATGCAATGCTCAAGTTTGGTGTGGTAGCATTTCAAACCAGTTGTGGGGAAAGGAACAGGTCAGGAATAAATAGTTTATTACAGGAATAGACAGCCAACAGAGCCACTATAGAGACAATCAATCACCACACAGCACCCTCTTCAGAAGGAAAAATCTCATGACATCTGGGAATGAGGACTCACAAATAAAGGTGAAAGGAATGTGTCATCTAAAGACAGCATCCTCCTGATCTGCAGTAATGTTGATTACATTACAGGAAATTGAAGCATATATTTTAGAAGATATAGAAAATTCAGAATGTTATTAACGAACTAAAAGACAAATGATAGGAAGATAGAAATGTTTAAAAAATGGCAAAATAAATGTGTGGAATAACACTCATTAGTTCATTGTATTGAAAACATTAAGAAACCTTACTTTCGTTTTACTCTCATGACTTGTTGAGTTCAGAAATAATACATCCAACTAAGAGTATTCAAACGATATATCCAAATCTGGACCAGAAAAATCTTCCTTGCACTTAGCTGTTACGAAAACAGTCAAGTCCTTCACAAGGATAATTCCTCTACTGACACAGATTCTGAATTGTATGTTTTCCTACATGTGACACAGCATCCATCACTCTTTTCTATCACATGAGAAAGAGTGCAAAACATCTGAAGAGAAGCCAAGAAAATCCTTGTTTCAGTTCATTTCTCTTTGGTAACCACAATTCATCATATCAGGTGTTTATGAATTAAACTTGTGATAATAATAATTTAATCTCAAGTAAATGCCATAAATACATAATCAAATTTTACGGCAGGGTATTTCCTCAAGGTTTCTTTCAGTCCAGTAATTCATAAAAACCAGAACACTCATTCACCACCAGTGTACTGATTCTACAACAAATTGTGAACGAGAATCACCTTAACTCTAAAAGTGTCCAATTGACTTTCCACTTTAGAATCTTTACTGAGCTTTACGATTGCTATTCAGAACACGCTCACGGCTGTCTTCCCGGTTGAGACTATTGAGGCGAGTTGGAGAACTGCCATTCGTATTGAGACGTGCTTTCCGGCTTCGCTTGAATTTCGCCATGTCTTCTCCAAACACATCGCCAGTCCGAAGGGCTGAGATAAGGTCATCAAACTCACCTTTGGCATCTCCAGTGCTTTCCCGCCGGCCATTCCCTAAGCCATTGCTCAACCCGTTCTTGAGACTGTTGCCCACTTTGCTCAAGATGCCTTCTTTGCTGTTCTTTCTGTCCATGGTTCTTTTCTTTAACTGCAAAGAGTCAATAGTTTATTTTCAACATTTAATATAGTAGCCTGCAACCATGCTTTGCTTACTATTAAATTTAAGTACACTTCAGTGTGAAACTTGAAACAATTAAATAGGGTTGCCCCCTCCCCCTTTTTAACTTGTTTAACTAGTTTAATTAACTTGTTTGCATTGCATTTGTGTAAATAAAAGATTGAAAAATTCATTTTTGACATTGATTTATTACTGCACTCTCTCACGGACGTTGAATGCCAATGTCCACAAACACTTTGACAGAATCAAACTTGCTAAAGCTAAACCAGAATTTCATAGGAAAATGAAAACTGCCAACAGGTGCCGACTAGCCCTGGAATCTTTCATCTATCTCATAAAGTTAGAGTGTCACTTTGACAAATCAAAAAAACGTACCTCCACTGACACTAAAACTAGAATTTCAATTTGCTGAGAGGCTTCACCAAGAACAAATCTTACCTCTGCTTCTTGCTGTGCCCTTTTCTCTTCCTCCTCACGTCTCCTCCTCATGTTTTCATTGTCCTGTCGAGCTTCATTGAAAGCTGTCAGGAAAGCATCAAAAATTCCAAAGAACTCATCTGGTTGGATGTTGCTGTTGTCTTCTCCAAAAAGTCTCACTGCTCTATCAAACTGAAAAATCCATGACATTTTAATCTCTTTCCAAGTGAGGCACTCAAAGATGACAATTTCAATAGTAAATATGAACAAAAAATACATAAATACATTACATTTTGTATTTATATGGTAAGAAAAGCTGTACACTAATAATTTCGAGATTTTGGGGCTTGGAATTGTTATGACAATTCATTGTTCAATCAATGTTTTCCACAATATTTCATTAGATTTATTATTCTGGTCAGTGTTATGTTTGAACAATGTAAACAGTTTTAAAAAGTGTAGATTAAAATTAATAAAAAAATTAAATAATTAAAAAAAAATATTTTATGGACAGATATTTCTAATATTTTTTATAAGAAAAATGACAAACAGTGAAGAAGTTATCTAATGATATTATTTTAATAAAAATTGGGAACAAGGTTTCCCAGAGTATTTCAGCCCAAAAGTACGAATAGGACATTTCTTGCCTGAACGCAGAAGTCGAGTCTCTCACTTACTGAGAACGTCAAACTGAGTTGCAGCGATTCCTACATATTGGAGCCTGTGGCCCACTGCCCATCTGAACCCTTTTCCTTCCTATGTAAGAGTAGCATGCCTTGATTCTCACCAGCACTTGCTGGGTCTAAGCACAACATTCAAGCACATTTATCCATTTAAAAAAGAAAAAACTCTGTACCTAAAAGGTTAATTACTTTCCAAAATTAAGAATATTTCTCAATGGACTCTCCATTTGTCAATAACTTTGTTAAGTTGAAGACTTTCTGAATGACTATTGCTTTAACCATTCTCAGGAACTAAATCATAAACTTTTTCAAAACACAAATCGCTTTAATTGCAAAGGCAGTTTTCAATATTTTTATTCATTACATCAGACAAAATATATTTTTAACCCTTTACCTGTATGTATACTTTAGTTCTAGAAAATATCAAAAATTATTACATGAATCAACCAACGGGAAAGATCTATTAATACTGACATTACAATTTTACAAATTAACAATCGGGAACTAATGGGAGGTGAGGGTGTTAATGATGGATGTTCAGGCGGCGAAATAATCGAAGAAAAGTTGGGAGAGCATTTTAATAGGAACTGCAATGGAACATCACCTCTTCTATCAGTAGTTTTTGTCAGACAAGAGTGTTCTGGAAAAGAGACAACACAAAATTGACAAAGATTGTTACTTGGAGAAAGAAATGAGTATTGAAGAAGATGTCACAGTTACCTCTGTCCAAACAAAATTAAATCTTTCCTTATGAATTCTGTGGCTTTTGCTTCGTGTTTCTACTATATTCAGTGGCTGGCACACCCTGGATCAAACCTTGAAGACGTTCAAAATGCTTTTACTCAGCTTACCGCATTAGCTTGGGTGACAATGCGAGCAGGTGTCTGCGATAGAAAATTCCTAGCATTTCGACAATGCCAATTTTACGCCGGGGGTTGCCCAGGAGCTGGTGCGATCTTTTGGTGACGCTCCGAACTAATAGAAAGCAGTTGATAATCGACTTCAAGGAACTTTGAACAAAGAAATGAATGTTTTATCAACAGAGAAGAAATTCACGCGGCTTTTTGGGGAAAATTAAGATTATCTCAGAGGCGCCAAGTTTAAAATGTATAATCCTTTCCTCTGAAACCCCTTCAAAGAATGTTAAATGCTCTGTTAAAAAATTTGAAGTAATTTGGCCGGCAATGTGTTAACAATGGACAGCATTTATTTTTTCTCTAAATTAATATGGAAATAATTATAAATTCTCCCATGGCAGTCAAATACAGCATAACTCAGGTTTCAACAATACATTACAATTTGTGGGGTGTCAAAATGTAAAAAATAAATTACCCTTGTCTTCATATCTTGGAAGAGGTCTTCCAGCTCAGAGAAGCGGCAAGTAGCTGATGAGAGAAACTCCTTCATGACAGGCAGGAAGCGGTCGCCAGCCACCGCCACACCAGCCGGCTGCGATCGATGGAACTCCACTTCCCGCTCCACTTCCTTCAGCCCGTTGCGCAGTTGGCCCATGTCTTTCTCAAGCTCTCCCATGCTGCACATACCACACTTTGTAATTAATGGGTGCTCATTGAAATTGGTTGTTTCAAGGGTTAAAAGCTTGACGTAAATCATCCATAACCCAGAATAAGCATACATGTCTTAAATGAAATAAAATCAATTAATTTTAATATAAAAATTCCTTTAATTTATTCTTCAAGAAAATATTAATGCTTTAACAACATGTGTAGATATAATTATACAAACAACACCTATTAAAAAATCTGTTAATATTTTTATGTGGTGTTTGAAAAACCTTATTAGGTAATGTTTTTATTTTGTGTTTGAAAACAAACAGATATGCAAAAAAACTAGAATGAATAACTCACTTGACTTTGGCAGCATCCCGAATATGAGGTAGGTCTTCATCCAGTTTGAGTGTATCTTTAAACTAAAAAACAATAATAAAAGTTCTTAAAATCAATCCAAATTTCACATAACCTGTGTTTACTAATTCCATTATACAACTAGTCATCCTAACAAAATAAAATACAAAATTACAAATATTCTGAAGAGTAAATTTGAAAAGTGAAAAGTAACAACAGATGTTTATTTTAGTTACATTTGAATTGGTTCGTTTTAAGTAAAAACAGTGCATAGAAATTACAGAAATTTACAATATTCTTTTAAACAAAGGAGTCAATGAAAGACAACCATACTCCACAATTTTGAGTTACTTTAATGGATCTTTGCTCAGACCAACTCTCTTCCCATTCTGTTCAACCGGCTTCCACTTTCTTACTGATTTTATTAGCATTGATTTAAGAATGTTTTCCAAATACTGAATGAAGGGAATTTCAAGCCGCATTGGTGAGGCCTATGATAATCTCTTACAGAACCAAACATTCATTAATATTCTTATTTTGTTTATATTTTTCGATACAAAGGCAATTATTGTAACTGTACTGAAAGTAGGCTTGTGTGGTCCTAGTGTGGAGTTGTTCCGAAAACAATTCTGCACTTGTTTGAAGCAATCAATTTGTAGCATGACAGTCGTTTTTTGTTTGGAACAAAGTAATTCTCACAGGATCAAAGTAACCCACTAATAGTACTATATACTATAAAATAAAACTTTTGACAAGATTTTGATAATTTTTTGATAGTCTCATAAAAAGATATACCAAGGTCCAGAACTGGTTTATTCTCATGAAGAAATTATGATTTAATACATCAACCATTTATTACAATTTCTATTGCATAAAAGGGCAGACAATGTATTAAAAGTGTATTGAATATAAGGCTGAAAGTGTATTGAAATACCAATCATGATTCTCACAAAACTATGATGGACAGTTTGAACACTGTGCTGAACAGATTTAATGCAAATATTGGTTGTTCTGAGCTGTATGAAATATTGTCTCAAATCATTCTTATTTTTTATGACAATTCTTGTTGACTGCAAACATACCTAAACAAAATGCAAATGTTATTTCTCTTACCTTTTTCTCCAGAATCTCAACGAGGTAGTGGAGAAGGGTGGTCCCTTTCAGTGCGCTGGACTTGGTGTCAGCCAGCCGGTTGAGGGATGCCAGGCGGAATCCATAAGCATTGCCTCGAGCACCTCGGTTCATGTAGTTCCCTAACGCAAGCACAACTTCCAGCAAGCGGCGCAAGCGCCGTGAGCGTGCCACTTCACGACTAGCTTCCATTACAGCTCGTATCCGTGGCTGCACTTCTGACATCCACAGGCCAAAGCGCTTCTTGTAGTGGAGAGCCCTTAAGCGCTGCTCATAATGAGGGATTCTGCAAACACAAGAAGGAAAATATTATTCTCATACTGATACTTTTTGATAGTTACCTTATTTGGCCTAAGAATGCTTCTTACTATGATTTCTTTCCTGTACCTGAGAGCAATTTTAGTGCTAATATATTATTAATATCATTTTTACACTTGGAACTTATATATTTCAAACTTGACAGTTGTCAATACTGCTGTCAAACTTTTACATATTGATTTGTTTTTTAAATTTAATCAATATTTTAAAATTCGACACATATAAATATTATTTTATGTTTCTAATTAACAGATTTATTTTATCAATTCATTTTATTTATTGTTAGATGCAAAAGTGTCAGAATGGTAGTAATGATGTTTTAGCACTAAAATTATACTCAAATACTGAAAAGAATCACAGTCAGAGGCATTTCAAAGAAAATGCAATTTTTAAGAAAAAAGGTGGATTTGACAAAAAAATGTTTGCTATTGCACTCCAATTCCGTGATCCTAATAGATTATAAAAATCATTCTTCAAAGCAAAAGTGTTGAGAATCATGGCAGTTAAAACATACTGTATCTGAAAGTATCTAAAACTTGTTAAACTCCATTTAAACTTCAACTTGAGTGGGGAACGCATAAATATCAATACTTTTTGACGAAACCTATGTCAAACATTTTCTTTTTTTAATAAATTTTCATTGTAAATGGTGGACTACATTGAATTTGAAATTTTACTTTTTTGTGGTTCATTCTAATGCATACATTCTACATAGAAATAATATAATAAAGAAAAGAAAAGAAAAAAAAAAAAAAGAGAGTGAGAAGAAAGAAAGAAAAAAAATCACACATGTGTAGTACCACCTGGTACTCCACATTTTGTTGATGTGGAAATGTGACAGTAAATGATGTATGTGTATTGTGATTTACAAAGCAATCAGGAATAGCAATCCTTCAATTAACCATTGCAAATTTACTACTATGTTTCATTATTCCATTTCAATAAAATAAGTTCAAGACTTCCTGCCTGACAAAGAAAGCAGAAGCTCACTCACTTGGAAATCTCATAGAGGAAGCGATCAGCTCTGGCCAGGTGTTCAATGTCCTCACTATGCTCTTCCAACAGTGCACACTCCTCTGCACTCGGGATGAAGTTAAGGAGCAGTTCTACCATGTCAATGGGCAGCTGGTTGCGCCCATCCATGCCCATGATAGCCCTGCAATTAAACACCAAAAATCAAACTAGCAGATGTTCTATTAGAGTTGAATTACAAGCAAAAATAAAACATACATAAACATAATTCTACCTTTTGAATTAAAAGCATCAAAATACGACATTATTTTTATAAAGGAATACTTCTGCCATAGTTCTCTAACTAACTAGAAAAAAAAGATTTCTTAAAAGATCTCTATTCCTTAGAACATATGTCTTATTATAAGCATTATTCCTCCATAAAAGGCATAAAACTCAAAGTGGCTTTATTCAGAACCTTCTGTATCTGAAGACTCATTACTACTAAGTAACTCAGTATGTAGTTGCTTTCACTGAAACAAACTCTTTTCTCTTTGTCGTCTTCACTGAAACTATATTCTGATTTCCATATAGAGGATCTATTAGTTCTACTTTTTCTGAATTATTCTCTCTACTTAACTGAGGATCCTCTGGGATCCTCTAAAAACTGCCTTTACAATTCAAATTTTTTTCATTAAATGAACATCATTTGAATGGATGAAAACCAGAATGGTACAAGTGACATTTTATAAATTCAGAAAAATCTTTTTATTTAAGCCAAAATAACTGTAAAGTCATGGTGCTTTGTTTTATCATTAATGTAATATAATTGTAAAGTTGAAATATTAGAAGCAACACAGTCATTAATTTTACTTTCTTTTGGTAAGATCCTGATTGTGGCTTTGAACAACTCTTGTGCTCCACATCCACTTTCATATAACATAGTATTATTTTTTAACTTTGAGCTAACAATCAGTAGAAAAGTGAAATTAAACGTCTGTGAGCAGCAAGAACAGAGAACAGATTTTCATTTGCCTTAGGCACATACCACACATTATGTAAACACTTCACTTTTTCCACAATTCCTTCATCAATTACAGGAAGTATTTTATCATTACTACTAGTAACACTATATGGTAGTTCAAACTTCACAAAACCAATCCTATCTTTTGTAATAGGATGTTTTGAAGCACCATTATTTAAATACCAATCAACTAAATTACCAACTTAATAAGTATTTGATCATAACACATCAGCGTTAAAAAGGTTCCAGAGCTTGTTGCATCGACTTTGATAGTTCCAATAGGACTACTATCCTCACTTTTGGAAGGTTAATATAATTCAGAAATAGGTCTATAATAAACTACATAAGATAGAGCAAGATTCAAAATGGTCTCTACTTCTTATGATATTGAGCAATTTTAAACAGTACAAAGAAATATTAGGAGACAAATTGAAAATTTAAAGAAGAGCTTTGTAAACAACTCCTTTGTAAATGGCCATTTGTCAGAAAAGGATTAAGAAACTTACATTCAGCCACACAAAAATAACTAGTCTACTTTTGTACAAGAAATTAATAAATATTGCTCTAAGGCTAATATTAAAACAAAGTTCTTTGACCATCTTGTTGATATAACTTTTTCGATGTTGGGATAATAATAACAGAAGAAAATTTTAAACTTATGAGATATAGAAAAGCGAACAGAACAAAAACTAGTTCTTCTTTGGCAAGCAGTAGTTCAATCAAAATAGAAAACTGATACTTTTATAATCAATAACATGAGCATAGAAGATATAACACGAATATAGCACATTGAAGACTTAAAGAAAATGTAGAAGCCTGGGAAATAACTTTTGGCTATAACAGAGGTTCGTCACCACTCATCTCTTTTGTCTCTTCTTCGATAACAAAAAAGTTTGGTCTTCAGGGCCGGGCACCAATCCGAAGTGGATACTAACAGTTTAGAGAAAGATGGGGTGATAATGAACTCAATTTAAACTCACTTGGAGATATCTTCATCTGACATTTTGAGTTTAGACAGCAAAATGGTGCAGTTTTGTGCACGCCTGCCATCAATGACTGACAGAATTTTCGCTCGACTCTTTCCCAGCTGGCGCAAATCTTCTATCGAGCCTTCATTCTGCAACAGATAGAGAAAATATCAGTCACATTATTTTTATTTTATTAGTGTCTAAATTTTTTTAAGATTGTCCCTTTATAATGACAAACAGTAAATAGAAAACTTACTAAATTGATGAAAGATAAAAAGTAAGGCAAATATAAGAAGGACAGTACAAAGAGGAAGAAGGAAGTAGAGTAGAGTCATTCAAAAGTGAATAGCAAAAACCTGTAATATATGCCAAGTTGTTTCCAGTTTGTTTTAAAAATTGAGTTAAATATTTACAAATTTCTCACTTATTGAATATGCTATTGTGCTAGTAGGTAACTAAAATTGTAATTCAATAACAATTTCTCATAATAATTTCTGCAAATAAATCATAATTCATAGAAATGTAAATACATATAATGTGTTAGCACAAACTGGAAAATGAAACAAATCAATAAATATAAACAAATATTCAATAAGTGTATTCTTACCGTAACCCCGTTCTTTTGATAAGCACAAAATATTTTGTCAATATTATCCAGTTCCATTGCTGTGTACAGCTTGGTCTCATCAAGTTCACTCCAAATGGTTCCTGTAACCTACGGGGGGAAAAGATAACAAGAAATGTCAATTATATATGTGAAAAAGCAATTTTACTCTACTTAGATTTCAATTCTATTTAGAAAGCTTTCTAAACTTTGTAATTAGTATAATAATGTGAGAATATAGACCTAAACCCTACATTAGAAAGAGTATATGTTTGTCTACAAAAATTGCAACATAATTGAAGATTGTGTCATACAGTTAACTTTTGTATGGAAAATAAGTACCATAAGTTTTTAATCTTGCATTCAAGCATCTAGAAATGTGCAGTGGTGGCTAGTGAACAAATGTTCAGCGTAGGCAAAACAGGCTTCTGAGCAGCAGTGGATTCTGGGAGGGGTACCATGTCCCACTACATCCAGTATTTTTGTAATATTATTCAATTTATTGAAAACAATTGTCTCATGGATATCTTTAGGTGCAGACAGTTAGAATATGCTTGAAATGGAAATATGGCTCGTCACAAGAATGAAATGCTTTTTCAGAGGAAAAATACATTTTCAGAGGAATAATACATACACTATATTAAACTGTAAAGCGTCATTTGAAATAATTATTATTATAATAAAATTATTATTATTTATTTTATTATATTATCAATTTATTGTTATTATTAATATTATTGTTATTATTATTAATATTACTGTTATTATTAATAATATTATTGTTATTATTATTTATATTATATTATTATTACTATTATTATGAAATAAAATAACTAGTACATAATCTGGGCAGACAGTGACCACCAAGAAGCTGCCACTTGAAAAAGGAGATGCAATTCCAGAATCATTCAATTTGCAATGTGATTTACACACCGGTTATATTGTTGTCAATTTCTTGGATAACCATAATAAAAAATAAATTCATTAAATAATTACTTAATAAAGTAGAACCAACAAGTAATACAATTCCTAGAAGTAATAACTTTCTATTTGTGCAGCAAGGTCTATTTTGCTGCCAACTCTCAACGGATGGCAGCAGCACTACCCAGAGGCATACTTATGATGTGGCAGGCACCTCACGTGTCATGGGCGCCACTGACAAGGGGTGCTATTTAGAGTATACACACTAATGTATACTCTAAATGTAATTTATATGTAACAAATAATAACAACAACTGTAATTTGAAGTATCCCAACAGAGGTGCAAATTCTATTGCTTGCCAATTTCTAGATATGACACTGGCGTTATCTGTTGCTCCCATGAGGTACTAAGAAGAAGGGCTGTTCAGGACTTTTCGACTTGATAATAAACATTCAGTGATGGAAAAAGTACGTTAAATTAGGAATTGGATTCAATTACAGTTACTTGTCAAAAAATATATACTATTTCAATTATAAATTACATTTTCAGCATGTAATTAGTAAAATTACAATTACGAGTACACGTAGTCGTAGAAATGATACGATTATGATCAACACAAACTGAAAATATCAATATTTATTTTTCCTTAAAAATTCAATAATTTTCAATTGTTTGCTTTCTACAGGTTACATTAGTAATTTCTCTAGATCCCCAGAGTACCTACTCTCTCCGTATTTGTTCCTGCATTGCCCACTGTCTCGCAGTCAACGGCCTTTGTTTCAACAGTGAAACAAAGTGACATGAAAATACTAGTGAGGTCCCAATTCTGGGTCTGTTATCATCATCTCAGGAGAGACTTCTTGATTATGAAATCTGATTGTTATTTGTTTTCAAGCTGTCTAATGTTGGAATTTGTGACACTGAGATGATATATACTTTACCAGGAGGGAATTCATTTCCAGGACATTGTAATTCATCCGTCCACTATAGCTGTGGTTTACGTTCACTACAACCGAATCTTTTTAAGCTTACTTATGATGTAAATGAACTGGGAGCAGTGACTTAGATTCACTAAATGCGAGTGCATTGTAACTCCGAATTTGTGACACTGACACAATATATTCTTTACCAGGAGGGAATTCATTTCCAGGACGTTGCAATTCCTCTGTCCTCTATAGCTGTGGTTTACGTTCACTATAACCGAATCTTTTTAAGCTTATTTACGATGTAAATGAAATGGGAGCAGTGACTTAGGTTCACTAAATGCTAGTGCACTGTAACTCGGAATTTGTGACACTGAGACGATATATTCTTTACCAGGAGGGAATTAATTTCCAGGACGTTGCACTTCCTCTGTCCACTATAGCTGTGGTTTTATTAGTTGCTAATGCACCACGCTTCTCGCACTTGTGCACGCTCACTCCTTAGTAATATGAGAGTAATGTCATAGCGATCAGCGAGGCTACGGAGCGTGTTGCGAGAGGGATGAGCATGCAATAATGATTGCGACGCTGCGAGGTCGCACTGGGGTTGGACGGTGCTAGATAAATTGGAGGCATAGTCGACGGGTAAGGTTGGCTATAATGTTTTAATAACGCAGCCCAGATCAAGACGGGCCAACTAAGATGCATCAAGGCGACACAAGACAGGACCTTCAAAAAATCATCACTAAAGGATTCAAAATAAGCGCATCTAAAGACAGCATCCTCTGGTATCTCAGTACAGTTTGGATACATGACAGGGAAATTAAGCATATTTTGAAGATATAGAATTTCAGCATGTGTAAGAAACAAAGACAAATGATAGGAAATAGAAATGTTTAGAAAGAAAATAAATGTGTGGAAAATCATGTCAATGGATGGAAAACAAAAAACTTACTTTCGGTTACTCATGACTTGGTGTTCAGACTAATACATCCAACTAAGGTATTCAAACGGAATATCAATCTAGGACCAAAAAATCTTCCTGCACTAGCTGTGAAAAAGCAGTCCCTTCACAAGGATATTCCTCCTGCCGACAGGAATGATGTCCTACATGTGCAAGCATCCTCACTTTTTCTATCAATGCGGAAAGAGCAAACATCGAAAGACAAGAAATCCTGTAGTTCATTCTCTTGGTAAACCAAATTATCAACAGGTTATAGAATTAAACTTGGTATAATAATAATAATCTCAAGAAATCATAGATACATACAAATTTTACGGCAGGGGTATTTCCAGTTTTCAGCCAGTAATTCATAAACCAAATAGAACACTCATTCCAGTGATGATCTACAACATGCGAACGAGAACACCTTAACTCGAAAAGTCAATTGACTTTCACTAGGAATTTGAACTAGAGCCTTACGATGCATTCAGAACACGCTCACGCTGCTGCCCGTAGACTATTGGCGAGTTGGAGAACTGCATTCGTATGAGACGTTGCTTCCGCTTCGCGTTGAATTCGCCATTCTGCCAACACATCGCAGCCGAAGGCTGCAGAGAGTCATCAAATCACCTTGGGCATCTCCAGTGCTACCGCCGGCATTCCTAAGCCATTGCTCAACCGTCTTGAGACTGTGCCACTTGCCAGAGCCTCTTGGCTGTTTTGTCGTCCATGGTTCTTTCTAACTGCAAAGAGTCAAGTATTATTTTCAAATTTAATATGCACCTGCAACCATGCTATTGCTTTACTATAAATAAGTACAAGCTTAGTGTAAAACTTGAAACAATTAAATAGGGTGCCCCTCCCCTTTAACTTTAAATACGTTATTAACTTTTGCCATTGCATTGTGAAATTAAAAGAAGAATCGATTTGCATGATTTATACTGCACCTCTCTCACGGACGTTGAATGCCAAGTCCACAACTGACAGAATCAAACCTTGCTAAGCCTAACAGAATTCATAGGAAATGAAAACTGCCAACAGTGCTGATAGCCCTGAATCTTTTCATCTATCTCATAAATTAGAGTGTACTTGACAATCAAAAAATACCCGTACGTCCACTGACTAAAACTAAATTCAATTGCTGAGAGGCCTTCACCAGAAAAATCTTACTCTGCTCTTGCGGTGCGCCTATTCTCCCTCCACGTCCCCCCATTTTTCATTGTCCGCTGGAGCTTCATGGAAAGCTGTCAGGCAAAGGCACAAAATCAAAGACTCATTGTTGGATTTGCGTGTCTTCTCCAAAAATCTCAACTGCTCTATCAAACTAAAAATCATGAATTTATCATCTCTTCCACAGTGAGGCACTCAAGATGACAATTCAATATAAATGAACAAAAACTACAATAACTTGACATAATTGTATTGATTGGTAAGAAAAGCTGTACACTAATATTGAGATTTGGGCTTGAATTATATGACATCATTGTTATCATGTTTCCAAAATTTCATAGATTTATTTCTGGTCAGTACAGTTTGAGACAATGACACAGTTTTAAAATGTAGAATAAAATAAAAAAGTTAATATTAAAAAAAATTTTATGGACAGAATTTCTATATTTTTAGAAAATGCACACAACGTGAAGAAGTTATTAATGATATATAATTTTAATAAAAATTGGAATAAGGTCCCAGAGTATTCACCAAAAGGAACAATAGGACATTTCTTAGCCGTGAACGCAGAGTCGAGTCTCTCATTACGGAAAATCAAACTTGATTTGCAGTGAGATCTACATATTGGAAGCCTGTGGCCACGCCTCTGGACCTTTCCTCTAGTAAAGTAAGCATGCCTTGATCTCACCAGCACTGCTGGGTCTAAGCACAACATTTCAACATTTATCCTTAAAAAGAATTATCCGGAAAAAAAAAAACTCTGTACATGAAAGGTAATTACTTTCCAAAATTAGAATATTTCTCAATGGACTCTCCATTGTCAATAACTTTGTTAAGTTGAAGACTATTCTGATGACTATGCTCCATTCTCAGGACGATTCATAAACTTTCAAACACAAATCGCTTTAAATGCAAAGGAGTTTCAATATTTTTCTATTCATTATCAGACAAAATATATTTTTAACCCTTTACCTGTTGTATACTTTAGTTTAGAAAATATCAAAACTATACATGAATCACCACGGAAGACTATACATACTGACATATACAATTTTACAATCGGAATAATGGGAGTGAGGTGTTAATGAGGAGTTCAGCGGCGAATAATGCGAAGAAAGTTGGGAGAGCATTTTAATAGGAACTGCAATGGAACACACCTTTCTATCAGTACGTTTTGGTTCAGACAAGAGTGTTTCTGGAAAAGAGACGACACAAAATTGACCAAACGATGTTACTTGGAGAGGAAGATATTGGAAGAAATTCACAGTTACCTCGTCCAAACAAAATTAAAATCTTCCTTATGATCTTGCTTTTGCTTCGTGGTTTCTACTATATTCTCAGTGGCTGGCACACCGGATTAAACTTGAAGACGTTCAAAATGCTTTTACTCAGCTTTTCCGCATAGCTGGGTGACAATGCGGCAGCGTTCTGCGATAGACAAATTCCTAGCATTTCGACAATGCCAATTTACCGGGGTTGCCAGGAGCTGGTGCGATCTTGGTGAGCTCCGAACTAATAGGAAAGCAGTTGATAATCGACTCAAGAACTTTGAAACGAAGAAATGAATGTTTATTCAACAGAGAAGAAGTCACGCGCTTTGGGAAAAATAATGTATTCAGAGGCGCCAAGTAAAATGTAATTTATAATTTGTTTTTTTCTTTCTCTGAACCCCTTCAAAGAATGTTAAACGCTCTGTTAAAAAATTTGAGAGATTTGGCCGGCAAGTGTTAACATGGAACAGCTTTTTTTATTTTCTAATTAATAGGAAATAATTAACTTCTCCCATGGCAGTCAAATACAGCATAACTCAAGTTTCAACAATAATACATTGTGGGTGTCGAAATGTAAAAAAAAATTCCCTTGGTCTTCATATCTTGGAAGAGGTCTTCCACTCAGAGAAGCGCAAATAGTGATGGAGAGAACTCCTTCATGCACAGGCAGGAAGCCGGTCGCAGCCACCGCACAATCAACCGGCTGCGATCGATTGGAATCCACTTCCCGCTCCACTTCTTCAGCCCGTGCGCAGTTGGCCATGTCGTTCTCAGCTCTCCCATCTGCATACCAACTTGTAATTAATGGGTGCCTCATTGAAATGGTTGTTTCAAGGTAAACAGCTTGACATAAATCGATCCATACCCGAATAAGTGACAGTCTTAAATGAAATAAAATCAATTATATTATATATAAATCCTCTATTATTATATCAAAAATATTCATGCTTTAACACTTGTGTAGAATAATTACAACACGCCTATAAAAAATCATGTAATATTTTATGGTGTGTTTGAAAAAACACTTATAGGTATGTTTTTATTTTGTGTTTGAAACTTAAACAAATATCAAAAAAATAGAATGAATAATCACTTGACTTTGGCAGCATCGCCGAAGAGGGAGGTATTCAACCAGTTGAGTGACTCTTTTAAAAAACAATAACTAAAGTCTTAAAAATCATCCAATTCACATACCTTGTTTACTAACTCCATTATACAATCAGTCACCTAACAAATAAATACAAAATTACAATATTCGAAGATAATTGAAAAAGTGAAAAGTAACAACAGATTATTTATTTACATGTTGAATTGGTTCGTTTTAAGTAAAACAGGCATAGAAATTTACAAATTTTACAATATTCTTTTAAACAAAGGATCAATGAAGAACCAACATACTCCACAATTTTGAGTTACTTAATGGATCTTTGGCCATGACCAATCTCTCTCCCATTTGTCAACACGGCTTTCACTTCTGTCTGATTTATTAATTGATTTAAGAATGTTTCCAAATACTGATGAACGGAATTTCAAGCCGCATGGTGAGGCCTATGGAATATCTCTTAGCAGACCAAACATTCATAATATTTATTTGTTTATATATTTCGATACAAAGGAATTATGTCAGACTGAAAGTAGGCTTGTGTCTAGTGTGAGTTGGTCGCGAAAAAATTCTGCACGTTCTTGAAGCAATCAATTTGTGCAATGACAGTCGTTTTTTTGTGAACAAAGTAATCTCACAGGATAAATAACCACTATAGTACTATATACTAAATAAAAACTTGCAAGATTCTTGATAATTTTTGATAGTTCTCGCTAAAAGAATGACCAAGGTCCAGATGGTTTTATCCCATGAAGAAAATTAAGATTAATTACATCAACCATTTTACAATTCTATTTGCATAAAAGGCAGAAATGTTTAAGAAGTGTATTGAATAAGGCTGAAGTGTATTGAAATACAATCAGATTCTCACAAAACATATGATAGGACGAGTGTGAAACACCTGTGCTGAACAATTTAATGCAATATGGTGTTCTGAAGCTGTATGAAATATCGTCTCAAACTATTCTTATTTTATACAATTCTGTTGACTGCAAACATACCTAAACAAATGCAAATGTTATTTCTCTTACTTTGCTCCAGAAATCTCAAAAGGTAGTGGAGAAGGTTGTCCCTTCAGTGCGCTGGACTGTGTCAGCCAGCCGTGTGAGCGTGCCAGGCGGAAAAAATCCTGTAAGCATTGCCAGACACCTCGGTTCATGTAGTTCCTCAACGCAAGCAAACTTCGACAGAAGCGGCGCAAGGCGCGTGAGCGTGCCATTACGACACTCTCCCATACAAGCTCGTATCCGTAGCTGCACTTCTGAACATCCACAGGGCCAAGCGCTTCTTGTAGGAGAGCCCTTAAGCGCTGCTCATAATGGGTCTCTGCAAACACAAGAAGGAAAATATTCTCATACTGATACTTTTGATATTCCTTATTTGCCTAAGAGCTACTATACTATTATTCTTTCCTGACCTGTGAGAGCAATTTTAGTGCATATATATTATTATTACATTTTTACACTTGGATGCCTTATATTTCAAACTGACAGTTGCCATACTGCTGTCAAACTTTTACATATTGTTGTTTTTTAAATTTAATCCAATATTTTAAATTCGACCACATATAATATTTTTTAGTTTCTAATTAACAGATTATTTTATCAATTCATTTATTATTGTTAGATGTAAAAATGTCAGAAATGTGTTAATGAGTGTTTTAGCACTAAAAATATACTCAAATACGAAAGAATCACAGTCAGAGCATTTCAAGAAAAGGCAATTTAGGAAAAGGTGGGATTTGACAAAAAAATGTATTTGCTATTGCACTCAATTCCCGTGATCCTAATGATTAAAAATCATTCTTCAAAGCAAAAGTCGTTGAGAATCATGGCAGTTAAACACATAATGTATCTGAAAGTATCTACAACTTGTTAAACCATTTAAACTTCACTGAGTGGGGAACCGCACAAATATCAATACTTTTGACGAAACTATGTCAACATTTCTTTTTAATAAATTTCATTGTAAATGGTGGCACTACATGAATTTGAAAATTTACTTTTTGTGGTTATTCTATGATACTTCTACATATAATAATATATAAACGAAAAGAAAAGAAAAAAAAAGAGAGTAGAAAAGAAAGAAAAAAAATCACCATGTGTATACCACCTGGTACTCACATGTTTGTTGAATGTGGAAATGTGACAGTAAATGGATGTATGTTGTAATTGTATTTACAAAGCAATCAGGATAGCACCTTCATGAACCATGCAAATTTACTCTATGTTTCATCTATTCCATTTCATAAAATAAGGTCAAGACTTCCTGCCTGACAAAAAAGCAGAAGCTACTCACTTGGAAATCTCATAGAGGAAGCGATCAGCTCTGGCCAGGTGTTCAATGTCTCACTATGCTTCTCTCCACGTGCACACTCCTCGCCTCGGATGAAGTTAGGAGCAGTTCTACCATTCAATGGCACTGGCTGCGCCACATGCCCATGCGAAGCCCTGCAATTAAACTACCAAAAATTAAAGTAGCAGATGTTCTATTAGAGTTGAATTACAAAAAATAAACAGTACATTAACATAATTCTACCTTTGAATTAAAGCATCAAAAACCGCACATTATTTTATTAAAAGGAATACTTCTGCCATAGTTCTCTAACAGAAAAGATTTCTTAAAAGATCTCTATTCCTTGAACATATTCTATTATCAAGCATTATCTCCGCCATAAAAGGCATAAAATCAAGTGGCTTTATCAGAACCTTCTGTATCTGAAGACTCATACTACTAAGAACTCAGTATGTTGCTTGTTCACTGAAACAAACTTTTCTCTTTGTCGTCTTCACTGAAACGTATATTCCTGATTTCCATAAGAGGATTATGTTCACTTTTCTGAATATTCTCTTCACTTTAACTGAGGATCTCTGGGATCCTCTAAAAACTGCCTTTACAATTCAAATTTTTTTCTTAAATGAACATCATTTGAATGGAAAAACAGAACGGTACAATGACATTTTATAATTCAGAAAAATCTTTTTATTTAAGCCAAAATAACTTAAAGTCATGGTGCTTGTTTATCATTATGTAATATAATGTAAGTTGAAATCATTAGAAGCAACACAGTCATTAGTTTTACTTCTTTGGTAAGATTCCTGATTGTGGCTTTGAACAACCTGTGCTTCTACTCTACTTTCATATCAACATATTATTATTTTTTAACTTGGACTTAACAATCAATAGAAAAGTGAAAGTTAAACACCTGTGAGCAGCAAGAACAGAAAAACAAGATGTTTCACTTGCTTAGCAACATACACACTTTGTAAATCACTTCACCTTTTTTCCACAATTCCTTGATCAATTACAGGAGAATTTATAAACTACTAGTAACACTATATGGGTTAAGTCAACTTCACAAAACAATCCATCTTTTGTAATAGGATGTTTTGAGCACCATTATTAATACCAATCAACTAATTACAACTTATAAGAATTTGGTCATACACAATGAGCATAAAAAGGTTCCAGAGTTGTTGCAAAAAAAAAACTTGACTTTGATAGTTCTAATAGACTACTATTCCCACTTTGGAAGGTTACATATAAATTTCGAAAGGTCTGAATAAATTACATAGATAGAGCAATTCAAATGGTCTACTTTCTTCTGATACTGAGCAATTTTAAACAGTACAAAGCAATATTAAGGAACAACTTGAAAATTTAAGTAGGCTTTGTAAACATCCTTGTAAATTGGCCATTCTGTCAGAAAGAATTAAGGAACTGCATTCAGCCACACAAAAATAACTAGTCTACTTTTGTACAAGAAATTAATAATATTGTGCTAAAGGCTTAATATTATTAACCAAGTTGATATTTTTGTTAATAAACTTGTTCGATGTTGGGATAATAATAACAGAAGAAAATTTTGCAACTATGAGATATAGAAAAGCGAACAGAAGCCAAACTAGTCTGCTTTGGTAGCAGTAGTCAATCAAATAGAAAATGATACTTTTATAATCAATAACATGAACATAGAAGATATACACGAATAATGCACTTGAAGACTTAAAGAAAATGAAGAAGCCTAGGAAATAATTTGCGCTTAACAGTAGGCTGTGTCACCCACTATCTCTTTTGTCTCTCTCCATAACAAAAAGTTTGGTCTTCAAGGTCCGGTGCACCAATCCAAGTGGATACTAAGAGTTTAGAGAAAGATGCGGGTGCTAATGAACTCAATTTAAACTCACTGTGGAGATATCTTCATCTGACACTTTGGAGTTTAACAGCAAATGTGCAGTTTTGTGCACCCTGCCATCAATGACTGACAGATTTCGCTCGCCTCTTTCCAGCTGGCGCAAAATTTCTATTGAGCTTCATTCGCAACAGATAGAGGAAATATCAGCTCCAAATTTTTGTTTATTAGTGTGGTCCTAAATTTTTTTAAGACTGTTCCTTTATACATGGAACAAACAGTAAATACGAAAAGCTATACTGATTGATGAACGAGTCAAAAGTAAGGCAAATATAAAGGACAGTACAAAGAGGAAAAGAAGTAGAGTAGAGTCATTCAAAGTGAATAGAAAAGCCTGATAATAATGCCAAGTTGTTTCCATTTGTTTTAAAAATTGAGTTTAATATTTACAAATTTTCACTTATTGAATATGCTTTTGCATAGTAGGTAACTAAAATTGCTAATTTCAATAACAATTTCTCATAATAATTTCCTGCAAAAAATCATAATTCATAGAAAGAAATACATATAATGTTGCAACAAACTGAAATGAAACAAATCAATAAATATAACAAATATTCAATAAGTGTATTCTTACCGAACCCGTTCTTTTGATAAGCACAGAATATTTTGTCATATTTCCAGTTCATTGCTGTGTACAGCTTGGCCTCATCAAGTTCACTCCAAATGGTTCTGTAACCTACGGGGGGAAAAATAACAGAGAAATGTCAAATTATAATATGTGAAAAAGCATTTTACTCTACTTAGATTTTCAATTCTATTTAGAAGCTTTCTAAACTTGTAATTAGTTAAGAAAGTGAGAATATAGACTAAACCCACTTAGAAAGAGTATATGTTTGTCTACACAAATTGCAACATAATGAAAGATTGTGTCATACAGTAACTTTTGTATGAAAATAAGTAATAAGTTTTTAATCTTGCATTCAAGCCTCTTGAATGTGCAGTGGTGCTAGTGACAAATGTTCAGCGTAGCAAAACAGGCTTCTGAGCAGCAGCTGGATCTGGGAGGGTCCATGTCCCACTACATTCCAGTATTTTGTAATAGTATTCATTTACTTGAAACAATTTCCTCATGGATATCTTAGGTGCAGAAGTTAGAATACGCTTGAAATGAGACTAGGCTCGTCACAAGAATGAAATGCTTTTTCAGAGGAAACATACGATTTCAGAGTGAATAATCATCACTATCATCTAAACTTGTAAGTGTCAATTTGAAATATTATTATTTAATAAATATTATTATTTTTATTTTTTATTATTATCAATTTATGGTTATATTAATATTATTGTTAACATTATTATAATTACTTTTATCTTATAATATTATTGTTTGATTATTTTACTTATATTTTATTACTATTATGATGAAATAAAATACTAGTACATAATTCTGGGCAGACAGTGACCACAAGGAGCTTTGCCACTTGAAAAAGGAGATGCAATTCCAGAATCAGCTGCAATTTGCCAATGTGATTACACCGGTTATATTGTTGTCAATTTCTTGAATAACCATAATAAAATTAATTCATTAAATAATATACTATAATAACTATGAACCAACAAGTAATACAATTCTAGAAGTAATAACTTTCTATTTGTCAGGCAAGGTCTATTTTGCTTGCCACTCTCAACGATGGCAGCAGTCACTACCCAGAGGCATACCTTTATGATGGCAGGCAACTCATCGTGCCATGGGCACCACTGACAAGGGACGCTATTTAGAGTATTACACACTAATGTTACTCTAATGTAATTTAATGCTAACAAATAACTAACAGCAACTGTAATTTGAAGTATCCCAACAGAGGTGCAAATTCTAGTCTGCTTTCCAATTTCTAGATATAACACGGCGTTATCTGTGCTCTCATGGGTAGCTAAGAAGAAAGGGCTGTCTAGGAACTTTTCGACTTGAAATAAACAGATCAGTGATGGAAAAGTACGTTAATAGGATTGATTCAATTACAGTACTTGTCAAAAATATCATACTATTGTCATTATATAAATACATTTTCAGCATGTAATTAGTAAAATACAATTACGAGTACACGTAGTGCGTAGAAATGAATACGTTATGATCAACCAAACTGAAAATATCATATTTATTTTCCTTAAAAATTCACATAATTTTCATTGTGCTTTCTACAGTACATTAGTAATTTCTCTAAGACCCCAGAGTACCCTACTCTTCTCCGTATTTGTTCCTGCATTGCCCACATGTCTCGCAGTCACGGCCTTTGTTTCAAAGTGAAAAAGTGACATGAAACAACAGTGAGGTCCGCAATTCTGGGTCTGTTATCATCATCTCAGGAGAGACTCTTGATTATGAAATCTGATCGGTTTTTGTTTTCAAGCTGTCTTATGTTGGACATTTGTGACACTGAATGATATATCAGGTGAATTCATTTCCAGGACGTTGTAATTCATCCTGTCACTTAGCTGTGTTTTACGTTCACTTACAACCGAACTTTTTAAGCTTCTTATGATTAAATGACGGGGCAGTGACTTAGATCACTAAAATGCGAGGCACTGTAACTCCGATTGGTACACTGAGACAATGTATTCTTACCCAGGAGGGAATTAATTTCCAGGACGTTGCACTTCCTCTGTTCACGTATACTCTGTGTGTTTACGTCACTATAACCGCATCTTTTGTAAGCTTACTTATGATGTAAATGAAATGGAGCAGTGACGTAGTGGAGCCGGCCGTGAGATTGCTGAAAGTGAAAATGGATTCTGTTTCGCGCACCTCACCTTGGCGCGGGCAGCTTGGAACAGTTGAAGCTCTTGAGCGGCGCCGAGGGCTGCGGGGACGCTCTTGCGCGGGGCGTCCGGGCGCGCGCGGGGGCGGGCGCAGGGGGGCGCGGGGGGCCGCCGGGGCCGCGGGGGCGCGCCGGGCGCGTGGCGGGGGGGGCAGAGCGGCGCGGCGCGAGCGGGCGGCGGCCTGAGCGCTCGAGGGCGCGGCGGGCGGCGGCGGCCGCCCGCAACGGGCCGCTCGCGACACGGGCGGGGGCGGCGGCGGCGCCGGCGGGGCGGCGCGCCCA